CAGAACAAATTTAGAGTTTCCTTTCCTGCATTGTGGCGTAGACTATGCTGGACCGGTGCTGATAGCTGACCGCAAAGGTAGAGGCTGCAGGCTCTTGAAGTCCTATTTGTGTATTTTTGTATGCTTTTCTGTTAAAGCTATACATTTGGAGCTTGTTACAGAACTTACGAAGGAAGCATTTATAGCCGCTTTGAACCGTTTCATCGCTCGGAGGGGGAAGCCACAAAGTGTCTCCTCTGATAACGGAACGAACTTTGTTGGCGCATCCAATGATCTACAAAGGTTTCTTCTTGAATCTAACATTCAATATGACATGGCCCAGGAAGGCATTGATTTTAAATTCACTCCTCCTTATAGCCCACATTTTAATGGAATGGCTGAGGCAGCTGTCCGCTCAACAAAGTATCATCTTAGGCGTCAATTACAAGCTGTTCATTTTACCTACGAGCAGATGGCTACCTGTTTGGCTCAAATCGAGGCTATTTAAATTCTCGTCCCCTCACTCATCTTTCCACAGACCCCCTCGACTTTACTGCTCTTACTCCCGCTCACTTTTTAATAGGACGACCACTCACTACTTATCCACATCCACAAGTTTTGGAGAAAGATGTTACCATCATTGACCGCTACAAAAGGATCGAGTACATCCGACAACATTTTTGGGTCCGTTTCAGAAAGGAATACATCTCCACTCTTCAACAGCGGACGAAGTGGCTTACGTCTTCACGCAACGAGCTTAAACCCAACGACTTAGTCCTCATTAAGAATTTCACCCTTCCACCATTAGTGTGGCCTCTAGGAAGGATCATCAAGGTTTATCCTGGTATCGATGGTATCAGTCGTGTCGCCGAGATTAAGACGAAGAGAGGCATCATACGAAGAGCCTTTAACAATATTTGCCCTCTTCCAGCTCAAGACTCTTGATTCCTCATCCTGGGGGGAATATGTCGAGAATCAAACCTCGATCCTCGACATCACGGTTTGCCGGTGCTTACAAGCGGCTGAACCGCTAGCAAATGGCGTGCGGCGGCGCGGGTGACGGGGAGGCAGCGAGAAGCGGGGGCGCGGACGCAACGGCTCCCACCAAGCTATTATGTACTCGCACTCGCCTTATATACTCGAACGGGATCACTGCTCCTTCAACGTAATCCTTGTGATCATTAAAAACCAGCGCAACATACAGTCCACTTTTATTTAACACCGAGACCTTTTTAGCAAAGTTATATTTTGACTTTTTTTAGCAAAGTTATATTTGTCACAGTCGAATTTTAGTCGTTCTTTGTCAATTTTACAGATCATTTTTAGCTTTGTAGATTTATTTATAGCAACGTCAGCTTTTAGACTAAATAAGACTGATTCATGATCCGTGATACTGGTTCCTAGGATAAATGTAAACGCATTTAGTTTCGTTTTTAGCAATACGTGATCTAAGCAGGATTTTCCCCTAGTTGCAGTGTAGATGGCAGGAAGTAGTCCATGGAAGGTGATAGTGTCCATATACGCTGTATTGGTGTGGCTCGTTTTAATGAGGTCAATATTTATATCGCCAACTATAACAATATTTTTGAAAGATGAACAACCTTCTAGTAGTATGTGTAGGGAATCAATGAAGGTATCAGGTGTTTTGAAACTTGGCGGTCTGTAAATCGCGATTAATATTGTATGATTTTGTACTTTAATTGTAAGGCAATTAGCTTCCAATAGAGTGGGTTCCTCTACAATACATTCTAGGTTACTGTTTGTGTAGACTACAAGGCCGTCGTTTTGATTGTAGTTATCATTGGTTTTAAACGAGTTATATCCCTCAAGCACCGGCAAACCCACGACACAAGACAGCCAGCATTCTGACAGCACTACAACATCACAGGGGAAGTTCAATCGTTTAAGTAGAAGTTGTAACTCCTGAAAGTTGCAGTTCAGGCTACGGATATTTTGTTGTAGTATATTTAAATATTGCGTAGGATGTTGAAGATGTGAGATGCACTCTTCCGGTTCACAAGAAATAGGGACAGAAATATTAAATTCGTCAATATTTTGTATTAGATTATTTGTGGTGTCGAATGTTACGTATAATTTATTACTAGTAATAAGAGAGTACGCATAAAAATATTTGTTTTAATTTCGTAGTAAGGTAAGAGCCGCATTCGTTCTATGTGGACAGTAGAAAAGACGAAGTAGATTAATACTAATTTACTCCATTGCATGTGATGGGAAGAAAGTATGTAGCGTAGGTATACAATTGTTATGAGATAAGGGAATATTGGAGGTTTTTGTTTAATGTTTATGTATTTTTAGAAATTGGTAATAATAATACTGCAAATAGATCATAAATTATGTAACTAATCAATGTTTTAGTTTAAAGTTATGCTAGTTATGCTATGCTGACCCCAGAGACGTACATATAGGTCTTAATAAAACATTACCTACTCAAAATTAAAAATTTCAACGTAATGGTTTAAGTTTTAAGCACAAAAAGTTATATAATTTTTCTTTCTCATTTTTCAGTTATCATGTTGGAAACATTTAACTTCAGTGTCTTTTTTAAGTTTCGCTTACCCACTTGTAAGCTCAATGATTCATGGTTACTATTTATACATGGTTATTTTTAAGAGGTTCGTATCATTTTAGTAGAAAAGCTCCTTTAAAATATAAAATTAAAAAACGCTGTTTTTTTAACTACAAGCTTAGATTTTTTTATGACGCTATCATAAGAGCATTACGCTATCATTAGTTGTCACAGTTATTGATGTTTATTACAAGTTAGTTTCATTATGACTGCGAATATGCCATTTTTGGATACCCGAATCGTTATTGAATAAGGGAATTTTACCCACTCAGGCTTTCAATATTTATAAATAATGCTAGTTCAATTATTTAATTGATCATCATGTAAAAGAACACTTTTTTTTGTATAAATATGAGTCACTGTATAGCACACGTATCCACAGTAGGTAATAACTGTTTATTGAGACCTGATGTTATTAAAAGACTTCAAACAATCAATCAATTAGTCTATCGCAGTCTACTAGTCAACAAAAGCTGCTCCCAAATTGTGCCATAGTACCCTCGCATCTCAGATCATACAAATAAAACAATACATAGGTACTTGTTTGCATGATCTAAATTAAGCCTAAACCTTTCACATATTAAAGGGCTTTATTTATTAGTTTAGTTTTAGCTTTATATATATTTTTTAGTTCATCATACAGCTACAGTGAACAGTACAATGTGCTCGCAAGACGTGCAGCAGCCTCGAAAGTGAACTGCGACGGCGATCCGCTAGCCTGCCATTAACAGTCACGACCACAACGACGAAGTGATTGTTTAGTATGTACTGTTGTACTGCCAATAGAAAATATTAGATTTTTACATTTTAATTTCGAGCAATTTATAAAAAAAAACATATATTTCTATTACATAAAATAAGATTGATTTGTAAGTATATATATACTACAGAGAACGCTTACGTGGGAACGCCAATAGAGATAACTCGATAGCGATAAATCTGGTAAGCATTGGAGGCAAATAAGGCAGTTTGGCCCCCACTGCCAGAGTTATGCCTGGTCGCGAGAGGTATTAACATTAATTAAAGATTTACGGTTTACGGAGAATTTTGGTAGGTACTGAGAGTTTATTATCAGTAATTATAGTAGATTACAGTTTAGGAGCATGCAATAGAGTAATATCCGTTATATAAATGTGGGTCTTACCGTTTGTATCAGACTATGAATGTGAGTGGCGGACGTGTTAATTGGAACCGGCCGTATGACCCGTTACATTTCCTAAAATACCCTGTGGAGTAAACAGATGCACTCAATGTGTGTCATTCGATGCTAATTATAGTCCCTATAAAACATGATCACTCACTGTACCTCGGATATAGCTGGATTAGCCTCCGAAGGACTGGCCTTTTAGAAAGATGTTTCGTTTTAAAGTTTTCTGCTTTCTTTTATTCCTGTTTATAGTATATGTTAGATCAAACCCTTCGGAGCAATCTAAGATACCGGCATTAAAAACGGACAGTGACGACATAATGGAGGTAGCAGAGTCGCAGAACCCATTTTTGCCTAGATTCGCAATGAAAGCATTAAGAGAGCGGAATGAGCGAGCGAAAGCTCGGAGGAGAAACTATGTAGCTCAAAGAAGAACGCATCAACCAGAGCGGTTTCCATGCCACCATCGGTATTATGTGAGTAGCATATACAAATAAGTAAAATAGTCATGACTTAAAAATATCATTTGAAAACCTAATATTACAGAAAAATGATTTATTTTTCTCACAATTAAGGAGTGTAAATATTAAGAAAATATAACCTAGGCGAGCTTCCTGGGTAAATGATTTACTTCGTTTTTTTAACTAGGTCTATTCGTCGTGTTAAATTAAATTATATTGTCGACGTCTTAAGTCACGTTTTTCTCAGGAGGAAAGTCACGTCCAGGAAATTTAAAACGAAATGTCAGAAGTCATTTTATGTATTAATATAACATGCACACATTAATATTTTGGGCTTCCTAGAATCTGGGTTATGGTCTAATCTTGAATTTATAAATCGAATTAACTCTGTGTTAATTGTTGCACGGAGCAAGAATCGAGTATGCGACCTCTGTCGTCGTAATCGACTCTACCCGCGCGGCAAAGAGGTGCTAAATATTTTTAGTCTTACCTACAAGAAATCTAAGTACTTTGACTCTTAAGTAGTGTTTATTTTGACAACAATGAATAATTTGAATTTAATTGTGAATGTCTAGAAATACACACTGATACTTTAAAATAACTTCACAAATATGAAAGAATAAAAGTATAGGTTTATATTGGGAAGTACGTTGTGGTTTTCCTAACAGCATCTGTGTCATCTTATTTATTTAACTTACTTATTTGTTTTACTTAGCACCTTTCTTTGCCCTAGATCTTTTACAGTATAAATCTGTGATACCGCATATCGTTTACACTTCACCTTACATTGTCTAGCCTAATAATACGTATATTTTTTACAGAAAAAATGAAGAACATTATTTTAATATTAACTTTGGGCCTCGCGAGTGTAATCTCAAACCCGGTAACGACGTCAAGTGAAAAGCCATGTATAAAATCCGTTAAAAATAATGACAATACAGATGTATCGTTGCACACAGATTTTACCGGAGAGACTGTTTTAAAAGAAATTGAAGCTATAAATAGTTCGACATATGACATACCAGGAAATTCAGAGGAAACCGGCAACATAGAGGTCATATTTAATTCGGCCGATAATACGCTACTTAAGGAAAACGAAATAATTGATGAAGCAGAAGAATATATTAAACCATTACAGAACACACAGGAAATTGAAAACACAGATGTTGCATCCAATATTGGTGACGGTACACCTACATTCGGGGACGGAGTAGTAGATATTGTTATTGAGGAGGACCCAGTTCCATCTGAAGACATAGATAACACAACTCCATATGAAAGCACCCCGGAAATACAGAGTACTGTTGACAACGGCTTGTCTATGACCCACTATTTGTTCAGGAATGCTTTAGAAAGCCGCATTCAAGATGAAATAATGGCATCCGCGAAGGGTTTTGCTCCATTGCCAATTTTTAGTTTTAGAAGAAAGCAAAACCCTCGACGGCGATTCGCCATACGACGACGTTACAACAGGTACCCGTACAGAAGATTTCACTCCGCTTACCCGTACTATGCATTTTATCGCCCTAGCTCTCTAAGATTTTATTAATTTAAACGTAAAAGAATATTTATTAATTTATTTGTAATGCTAAGTGTATTTAATAAATAAAACAAAGATTTTCGTGATCATTTCATTGTATTTATTTCTATAAAATCTAACTATAAGCACATATGCCTTTAAAAGTAATTCAATATAATTATATTAATTTATATATTTACAATTATTATTCAAGTGATTCACTTAAGCTAGAAATACATTGTACACAGAGTTGGATTATACTCATGGCAGTTGTATTAAGTGGTTCCTTCGTTTATAACAATACATGGACTTACATCGTCTTTTTTACATTATACATGTAAATTATGACACAAATAACATTATTATAATACGTTTAATTACTAAAATACAGTTGAATCACATATTATTTTTTATACATAAAGTAATATCTGAGGTCATTAAACGAAACAACTACAATCAGAAAATGAGTTTCTGCAATATATAGATGTTACAAATATTCATAAATAAATATCGATCCTTATATTTAATTAATTAGACGACGAATAATCGATGATCAGTTCAATAAAACAATATAATAAATCTTTTTTTTTTTGTAAATCTGTGATCTGACAGAGTGCGTGCTTAGTGTGGGGTTACAGACGCATTTATTTGCCCGCACCCACGTGAGCCTCATCCATGAGTTCGTCGTCTGTGATGCACGGTGAGTTGGAGTGCGGTGAGGGAGCAACCAGCGGAGACGGTGCGGGGCTCTTGGCAAGTTGCAACGCCAGAGCAGGCGACGACGGATACACTGGTCTCACAGCCACCAATCCCGACACTTTATTGCCAGATGATGACGAGAAATCTAATAACATCTCGGCCGCCTCTTGGGGTGTGGTAGCGCCACTACGGGCGACGGATCCACTCGCAGGTGGCTTCATACAAGAGTCAGCACCTTTTCTGTCCTCTGAGCTACCTTTAGGAGTGGCAAACCCCTTTGTCAGCTCTGTTTTAAAATCAAGCGGCAACATTGAAAAGGATCCTGGATATCCGTCTTTCGGGTCATCCTTATTTCTCTGAGGACTGGCTCCTTTGGATATACTGTCAGATATGGCTTTGGAAAATTCTAGGGGACGATCCGATTGATCGCCCTTATTGAGTTGGATCGTTTTAGGGCTCATACCGCCCATGTTAAGAAGTGGTTTGGGTACGTTTAAAGGATACGCTGATTTCTGTAAAGAGTCACTTGTCCTGGCGTTAGGGTTATCAAAATGAGGAAACTGGTATTTACTCTGTTCTAATGTACGAGCAAAATCATTGACCATAGACCGGCTATCGTACTGAGAGGATTGGCTGTTTTTATCCGGAGTGTTTAAGTTTTTTAACTTAGGTATTTGAAATTTGCTTGTATCAAGTGGTTTTATTAGGCCTTCTACGAGAAAATTTGATTCTTTCGATGACTTAAACCTATCGCCATCAATGTCATCCCTCGAGCTGCTGGGGCTGGAATGGCGTTCAGATTTAGAAGAAAATATTGATTTCTCGGAATTACTCATTAACTTTGTCCTAGCTTTTTCTCTTTCTCTGTCTCTAATTATTTTAGCTAAATCTGAGCTACTGCTTTTAGGCGAGCCTGAGTTAGATTTGGAACCAGACTTAGACAAATTTATCCCTGTACTGCTCGTACTCGATGATTTAGAGTAAGGCACTTTAGGCATATTTGGATTACTTGACCCGGAAGATTCAGATGGGCTCAAATTTGCTTTAGGGGGTGTACTTCCTGTTGAAGAGCCGCCTGTTTTGGACGATTGCATCGCTTGAGTCTTTTTCGATGCAGGTCCACTAATTACTCCTGGTTTAAGTCCTGTGTGAGTTTTGGGCGAACCCTGGCTCGGTGGAGTAAGCTGTGGCGACGATTGTTTACTAGAACTGCTGTAGTTTAATTTGGAACTACTGCTTGATGAATCTTTTGTCCTAGTTTTGTTTATAGTTATCTTCATGCCGTCTGAGCTCGGTTTCACCATATATTCTTGATTTTTACTTTCACTAATTTTCCCACTACTACCCATAGTACTCGTTTTCTGATCTGAAAACTTACTGGCACTACTAGAAGAGCTACTAGATTTGCTACCTATTTCAGAATCAGTTCCACAATGTTGAGCGGATTTGAGCTTGTCTATTACAGCGCTGAGGGAACCTTTTCTATTGCGAGCCTGGCTCGGTGCGTTTGACTTATTAACTTCAACATTTGGTGGAGATATAAGTGGTTCTGTTACGGGACTATCACACGAAACTGGAGTAATTTCCAACTGTTTCAATTTCATTTGGTTTTTTAACTTAGGACTACTCCTACCGGAACTAGAAAAAGATAAACCGGAATGTTTTTTTTCTTTATCCCTGGAAGTCACCGAGCTGGATCCGTAACTGTCTTTAGATATTTTTTTTGTGAGGTCGAACCCGGTCGTTCCTGATTTACCTGAGGGAGAACCACTAGCGGCCGATTTAAGTGCGGACATACTGGGCTTGCCCGACCCTGAAGAACTTTGTTTCGGCGATGAGATACTGTGGTTTTTTGGACTCGAGTAGCCAGTCAAGTGTTTAGGGCTATTTTGAACTGGCGAATGTCTTGGACTACTATGGTGGCTAGAAGTCCCGGATGGTTTGCCAAGTCCTTTCACAGTACTAGGACTGGACGATTTTGTTATCGAAACAGATCTACCATGTGTCGGACTGGGACTAAATTTTCTTATAAGAGAGTTTGGGGACGACGAGCGTAAAGGTGATCCGTCTGTAGGTTTTATGCTGACTGATACAGGTTTAGTGAGCGGATCTTGTTTTGGGGGTACTTTTTCAGGCGGCCCCATAGGATCATCCCTTCTGCGCTTCTTTTTCTTTTCTTTGCTGCGTTCCTCACCGGATCTGCTGGATTTCTTTTCAGATCTTATCCGATCGTCAAGGTTTTTCATCTGCGATGTTGTAATCGGTGTTATAGTTATGGAACTAGGTAGTGCAGCTGGCGTAGCTGCAGTTATTGGGATAATTTCAATACCTGGACGCCGGTCTAAACACAGCATTGATGTTATGCTCGAGCCTGAACTAGCATTTGGTGTGTTTGATGTACTGGATCCTATTGGAGTAATACTAACTGAGGATGGCATGTAAGATTTACCTTCAGTCAAGTCCAGAAGGAGGGACGACGAGCTTCTGCTGGATCGCAGTTCAGAATCTTTGTTTTTAAGTTTTTGCCTTTTGTGATCAGACTTGTGAAAAGAATTCCTGCAATAAAGGTATTATAACTTTATTATTTATCTGTACATTTAGATGGGCGATGACTATTATAGAACAAAAACTAATGTCCAACATAACTCTTTATGAGTTATCTTAAAGAGTTATGTTGGGCACTGACGTAACAGGATATTTTTCTAACATGGATTTATATTGAATATATTAATTAATACAGAGGTACTATTACTATGGACTACTGCATTACATATCAATCTATTAATCTAGTTTTTATAGTACGAGTTCTGCTTAGTTTGAAACTGGATAGCGATAATATTTCTCGGTGACACAATGTCAGATGTCCGAAAAAATATATTATTATTCTCTTTATTTCATTAAAATAAATTACATTTTTAAATGTGTTTTTGATTCATAAAAAAAACATTTGAAAAATATAATCCATCCATCCATATCGTCCCATCGGTATCGTGAACCGGGACCAAGATACCGGTGGTTGGGACTCCATAGATAGAAGCTTCCTCACAATACATGCCGCATCGAAAATGACTACTTTCTGCATCAGGCCCTTAATCCAGCTGCCTAAAGCGAGCCTCTGAAGATGGTGTCATCGTGGGCCGTACGTTTGAAGAACATATTCAAACCTGGAACACGTGCTATCAAAAATTCGAAGTACCATCCTAATATTAAGTCCTGAGAAGTGTTTATTTTCCAAACGCCTAGTAAGCTTTTTGGTACGAAGAAGGTATCCAAACAGATCCGCAAAATATTGCTGCCGTCAAGGATTGGCTAGTCCCAAGAGATAAGACTCAAGTAAGAGCATTCTTGGGCTTGTAATCCTACTATCGTCTATTCGTGAAAAACTTTGCGGATAATGCCAAACCCTTTCATAAACTTACTGGGATGAAAATACATTACTGTGACGTTGCATTTCAAGAACTAAAAAGACGTCTATGCACCTATCTTGGGTATCCAGATACCGAAAATGAATTCATAGTCGACACAAATGCGAGTAATACTGGGCTTGGCGGTGTCTTATCGCATCGGAAAGGTGATCAAGAAGTTGTTATAGCATACTTCAGTAAATCTTTGTCGAAACCGGAAAGGAATTACTGCGTCACGAGAAGAGTTTCAACATTTCAACAAATATTTTGCTTGGACGTAAATTTCACCTGATAACTGATATGGAGGCAGTAAATTCGCTTCTGCAATTCAGAAATCTTGAAAGACAAGTCGCAAGATGGATAGAACTACTTCAGGAATATGACTTCATGATTGAACATCGCAGCGGAAAAACTTATGGAAACGCAGGCGCATTATCGAGAAGACCTTGTTTTGAAGACTGCAAGCACTGTGTCAAGCAAGAAATAAAGGAAGCTGTGCCTGTAAGGACGCTAAAGACGGACCTTAGCAATGTGTGGAAGGAAGGCCTACAGCAAGCACAGCAGGAGGATGCAGACATCAAGCCGATTTTCAGGTGGATTAAAGCTGATACTCCTAAGCTTCACTAGAGCGATGTGGGTCGATGAGTTCGACCACGAAGAGTTATTGGGCTAAAGCTCAAATACCGGCTGTCCTGCCCTCTACAATAACAGATGTTCAGGAGGCCATATGGGAGTTAAGAGCATTGTTAAAGATAAGGGAGAGATTCTACTGGATTCATTGTCGTGATGATGTTGAGGACTGGTATCGCAAGTGTACCAGTTGTGCGGCCGTGAAAATTTACACGTAGCAGGGGTGCATTGAAATTGTACAACGTTGGTGTAAACCTTGAAAAGGATTGCAATAGATGTAGCGGGACCTTTTTCCTGGAAGTGAAAGCCGAAACAAGTACTTCCTGGTTGTAATGGATTATTTCACTAAAGTGGCCAGAAGTCTTCGCGATTTTCAACCATAACGGTTCAACAGTTGCAGATAAATTAGTGCACGAAGTCTTCTGTCGCTTTGGAGTGCCTTTAGAAATTTATAGTGACCATGGAAGAAATTTTGAGTAACAAATAGTCGTAGAGTTGTGTCGAGTGATGGATGCTTATAAAACCAGAACCACCTCTTACCACCTACAATCGGACGGAAAGGTGGAACGATTTAACCAAAGACTGGAGAGGTATCAGACAAAAGTTGTAGCAAGTAGGCAAAGAGATTGGGAGAAACAGATCCAACCGTTTTTTCTGTTATACCGAAGCACAGTTTTTTTCAGAAGTCACAAGCGCGTTGCCAGCCTTTGAGGAAGGACTACGCTCTTTTTTTGATAGCACTGTATGTCAAGAGACCTTGAAATCGGACTTGCTCGTTTTTTTAATCAAACGTATAGGGCTCATTTTTACAAATATTATAGTAAAACACCTATTTGAAAATTGCCCGTAGTTTACTAAAACTAAAAATTTTAAAGTAATTAAATTTACTCATTTCAAAAAAGGGATTTTTATATTTATTATAACATTGAGAACAGCGCCATCTAGTATAGAGTACTACTACTACTGTTATAACAAGCTAATATTTAATTTAAATATTTTGGTTTCTTATGTATTTTTCTTCAAATTTGTTAGGAAGTGGTAGAATAAAATATGTAATAAGTACCTCGTTTATCTAATCTCAGCTGCATGCTAAGCTGTGTTCTTGATTACCCCTCAGTCATTATAATCATCAAATCATAATATTAGATGCGACTGTAATACATAATGTAGGTACATACCTGATTATTTCATCGACATCTCCATCGTTCGAATTATCCATATCCGAAGAGTTTCTGTTGTCTTGCGCGAGCGCGTCGGTGGCATCCATCCCAGACAGTTCCATGTCGGACGCGAACTCATTCTGTGACACCGAAGACTCGCGACCTTCTATGTCCTCATTCGTCGAGTTACTGTTTACTGTGTTTTCATCCTCATTCACATATCCATCTGAGTTGTCACTCTCGCTATCCGAGTCCATCATTTCGGTGATCCCTTTGCCTTTCTTTTGGCTAGAGGACCACATTTCTTCAGATTTTCTTTTCTTAGGTTTTCGATCCTCTAACTGGGGTTTGATGTCTGTAGCCCCTGAATCCTGACACATCACTGACAGATGGTGTTGTTGCTCGGAGAGATAAGTTCCTATTAAATAAGGAAATGAAATGGAATCAAACATATGAATAAAGAAATTTATGAATCAGTAACAAAAATACATGTATGTATTATATAGGATGTTTTTTTTAAATCAATAACAACAAAATTAATTAGGTATAATTTAATTAAGTTGCTAAATATGGCGCAAAGGAGCGGAACTTACCTCCCTGATGCGGATGATTGACATTAGAAGGGTACATGGCTCGCGAGGAGTGCATAGAACCGGGTTCGTGTTTCACATGGTCACCACCTGGATCGAGCCCCCCAAGGCCACAGCTAAAATTTGGGTCCAGAGCAGAGTAGCCACCGTTTAATTGCTTACTGGCTGCTTCACGCTCCCAGATTTTTATAAGGGACCTATGCAGAAAATTGATAAATATACATTACATATGCAAATAGATCACAATAATAAATTACAATCATTTCAAGTTTATATGTAAAATATTTTAGTCAGGACAGCAGATTGTGACATGTATCCATGACATTGTGACATGTATGAACATATATCTACCCAAAAAATTGCTCAGATCTAAGTTTTAGAAAAGTGAATGTCTGAAAGTGAAACTCAAACCACTCAAAAATCATGATGTGGATATTGATCAAATCATCATTTTTCTGTTCTTTTCATAATTTTTGTTATGGTTGGTTAGTTTTAGGTACCTTTGGTTTGAACATATAATTATATAGATTGTTGCAAATGATAATTATAGATTGCACTGCACTATCGTATTAGCCAGGACTAGATGAGTCAACCGGTTAATATATATGTAACTTTTATATTATAATTTTTGAAAAACGTACATAGATTCACGTAAGTTAAAAAAAAAATCGACTATCTGACACACAACACCATCTAGTTTCAAACTAAGCAGAGCTTGTACTATGAAAGTTTGATTGTCTGATAGAATACTCATAAAGCTGTTTTAGTAAATACATACATATTATACATAGAAAACACCCAAACATTTGGTCCGATCCTGGAATCGAACCCGAGACGTCAGGACAGCAGTCGCATACGCTACCACTGCGCCATCGATACAGTAAAAAATGAAAAAAAAAGATGCCAAGAGATTTGATTACAATTGGATTTTTAAATTTATATCTCTACCACTTATGGATAAATACATTTTACTGACCAGGACTATGTTTGTAATATGATACAAACCATTACGCTGTGTTAAAATAGATCATATACTTAACCACTGTAACAACTTTTATGAAAAGTTAAACATACAGTCAAGATTCTTGTTGATATGCCTCATATTAATATTGCCTGAAATGAGTTTGCCAATCAGATATGCCAACCTCCAAAGGAGTAAGTCTCAGTCACTCGTTAATTGAATTACGGATATGAAACGGGTAGAATGCGTTACCTAAGCGTGATGGGTATGGAGTGCGTCTTCTGTAGCACCCTGGTGATGTACTCGTCGACGTGGTCCTTGGGCGGCGCGTGCAGCGTGTAGAGCGTGGCGCGGGGCGCGGCGGGGTCGCCCAGCTCCAGCTCCACCGTGGCCATGCTCTCGTCGAGAGGGTGCTCCAGCGACACGCAGATGTGCTGCCACGACAGCGCGCTCACCTCGAACATCAGCGCGTTCTCTATATCTGCGCCTGAAACAAATACATACACGCGTAAGTATAATAATAATATTTTTTGGACATCTAACACACGACGCCATCTAGTTTCAAACTAAGCAGAGCTTGTACTATGAAAGCCAGATTGATTGATAGAATACTTATTAACCTTTTTTTTTTGTAAATACATACATATTATACATAGAAAACACCCAAACTCCAAAACAAATATTTACAGATCATACAAACATTTGGTCTGACCCAGGAATCGAACCCGAGACCTCAGCAAGCATCACCGAGCCAATCGAATATATATGTATCTAATTAGTCTAGTTTCTCTATTGTCATCTTAAGATATTCGATTCCTTCACTAGCAGGTTCACAAACAATAAAAACAAATTGAAGGAACATTCTCCACTCACTTCGTGATATTTATTATGAAAATTCTTTGGACAAAATTGTCATTAATGGTTTTTTTTAAGCACTTAATATGAAGCTACTTAATCCACTTCTGATTTTGAAGGGCCCAAAAAAAGTTGTTAAAAAAAATTGTTAAACGAGCGTAAATCGATATAAGTATGATAGTTCATCAGATTTAAACCAGACACACATATTCGAAAGTGATAAAGATTTCTATATTATACATACATGAGAGAAAATGTGATAACAAACGTAATTTTACTCAATGGGAGAAGTACGTTTACCTTTACTGGACTGCGTTCTGATACAGCTGGTGATGAGCGTGTTGAAGAGCGCCTGTTGTCTCAGGCATGCCAGCAGTGGCGGCACGTGCGAGGGATGCGTGAAGGGTACACTTGTCACCACGCAGCCCTCTAGCCCACGCGCCTCGCACAGGAAATAGCATTGCGTTTGATCGGGTAGGTTCTGAAAACAAGAAAAGCACAACTCAACCATAATAATATTTATATTAGTCTAGGCAACAATTTAAAACGGTATTCATCATCATCAGTCTATCGCCGTTCATTAGTGAACATAGACTCCAGCAAAAAGAACCAACATTAGTAAAACCACATACAATATTTATTTTGAAACAGCCTTATCATCAAGATAGAAAAACTAAAAAAATATAATCAAATCATAGGTACTTTATGAAATAATCATTGCAAAGAAACCAATAAGATGATGCTGGTCTCAGTCTTGTAATAATTTATTGAAGATTTAGTTATATACTTATGGTTTGCAAAAGCTATTACTGGTGAAATATCTACAAGCGAGTGTCCTTAGATCTGATCGCGACTTTATTCAAGATTTATATCCCAGGCCTAGCGTAAGTTTTAAGTTAACCAAATAATTATATTATGAGTTTTTATACTGTTCGTCGTCTTGTTCATTAATTACTTACCACGAAAAGCCCTTTGCTGAGATTTAATTCAATACTTTTTCCTGGCGATAGTTTGCTGTATGCTTGTTGAGCTACTAAACCCAACATGGGCTTCGCGTTTCCCCAATCACCAGCTACTTCAACCTGAAAATGTAAAACAAACCTTAAGTTTCATGCAAAGTAAAACAAGTTTGTGTTGAACTGTATCATTTCTAGGGTTGAACACTGGCCCCCAAAATACAGGCACTCGCTAAGTCTGGGGAGCATATTGGTAAATTTTAGTAAAGTACATCAACAATGATCTACTATTAGTATAAATGTTTTAAATATAATTTAAATTAAATCAAAAATTTAATTAATTAACAAACATTTGCACTGTTTATTTTTACATACATTTATACATTATGTACAGAAAATCCTGCAGTTCTTGTGAATATATTAAAAAGCCGATCGAAAGAGAAAAAGCGTTTGCGGGTCACAATGTAAAATATTAATAACTTAAATTACTTTTTTCAATTATGTGTAAAAACACCACAGAGGCCATACAAATGTCGGAAATTTATTCTAGACTATAATTTAGCTATGATACCAAAGCAATTTACTACATGGTCTGTGCATTTACTAGTTTCTATTAATAAATACACCTAGCATTTTGATTCTAATCGTCACCCTATTACTTCTTAGATACTCACTTCAGTAGTGGCATGAATATGTTTGGCAAGTCCAGCACACAGAGGAGTTGGAGCGGATAGTTTCAATGTGAAGCAAGCGGGTAACATGGCACTGTTCTGCGGCACCAGTTGAGCATATACAGGCCCGTTACTGTAAAAAAGTAAATTATCATATTAATAAAAGCCTAGTAAAAATGCAAACATCATTTTTCCTGTTGTGGACGAAAATAGTTCTTAATTCACTCGGTCACCACCAAGAAGTACATTTAAAAAATCATGATTAGCGTTTAGTCCATGTGGTGACGGATTAAGAATATGGAGTGTCACCACCCCTTTTCATCCCGTGGGTGTCTTAAGAGCCGCCTAGGGAACCAAACTATACAAGACAACAGTATTGTGACAGAGAAGGCAAACTTGAAACAAACCCTAAACCCAGTGGACTACTAAAAGCAGTTGATGAGTCTGTTCAGTCTTTTAAAAACAGAAATTAGATTAAGAGCTATTTTCCTGCATTTGCTCACCTTTTTCCAGACCTAGGTCCTCCAGATAAAATAGGTGACAACTGGAGTTTATTAGGAATAGAACCTTCTAGAAGAACTGTTGCAGAATGTCCGATAGGCGTATGAGATGGTGCAACTAGTGATGCAAGGCCACTGGATGCTGAAGGTTTGCCTGTCATAAGCAGCTCTGTTGTTAAAGGTTGTAAGCCCTTATCTTTATCTAGCAGCTCGTAAGGTGATACGAAATAAGTAAGACGCATCGCATGACCTAAAATGATAAAAGGGAGCTTGAATTCCTTAACTACAAAGAAAGTTACATTGTAAAAAATTATCATTTTTTTTTCTTTAGAACATACCTCCTCTTCTTTTCTGTAAGAAACCAATTGGGCTTTTGTGAACTTGTGCCCATGGATCTTTGATAAAACTTTGAAGTTGTCTCAATGTACATAAATCTTCTTCCAAACTTTGTAAGGCACTAAATGCTTTGCACTTAACCTGTTATACAAACAAAGAATTTTATTATATTTATCTTTTTATGATTCAAATACTGAAACAATATTTTGGTAGGTTAAATATTATACATTTTTGAGTTTTGTATACCTTTATATTTTAGGACAAATAACAATGGTGTTGGCAAAATCCCTAATCGTTAAAAAGGAACATGATAAACATAGTGATGAGATATAAAAGTAATACCTTTTTTTCAGCATTTAGTTGATAAACAGCTGTGAGGCCTTCTAGTTGCGCTGTAAAGTCAGCAAAGTCCCCACGTGATATACAAGAAACTAGTTCTTCACAACTCTGTTGCTCAATCTGTTACAAAGTTTACAATATAGTTTGCATTTAAGTAATAATAATTATATATCATTACCAACAAAGTTACTTACTTTCCCTTCATGATGAATTTTGACATCTTTAACAGAACCCGAAGACTCAACTAAAATCTCCAAATAAAACATATCTGATGAGATGAATAAATTGACTCCTGAAGTTCCTACCACAAATTTAAGCCTGAAATAAATAAACATGAATTAATGTAATATATTTTGTATGTGTAATAATTAATTAAACACAAACTTCAACCTGAATAATAAGGCATATATTTTTACACTCAGTTTAAATTCACTAGAAATAGAAAGCCTGAAAAGTAAATACCGGGATTAACAATGGTCAATCAATTGAACAAGCAAGTTTAGACTTGCTATATAGGTATATTGGTAGGGATAGGGTGATTAGGTTTATATTTGACTAGCTGACCCGCGCAACTTCGTCTGCGTCTCTCAATAGTAATAAATTTTCTCCGTTTTTTAAACATTCTTCATTGGTGTTCCGCTCCTATTGGTCTTAGCGTGATGATATATAGCCTATAGCCTTCCTCGATAAATGGTCTATCTAACACTGAAAGAATTTTTCAAATCGGACCAGTAGTTCCTGAGATTAGCGCGTTCAAACAAACAAACAAACAAATAAACAAACAAACTCTTCAGCTTTATAATATTAGTATAGATACACCAGACTGTTTCTTGCTGTATTTTATGTAGATCCATAAAATACTACTACAAAACTACAAATGACTACAACAATTATTTTCATAGTATTACTACTCTATAATCTGCAATGCACCTGAACCATTTAAAAATCAAAAACCTACATAAACATTGAAAAAGAAAACATTTATTAAATAGTATAATAACGCACAAAATGAAGACCACCAGATTAATATAGAAATAAGAGTATGGTATAAACCCATTTTATCTTCAAGACTTTTTATTGCTGTTTCAGAGTATATATTCTGCAATCTCGAAGGACTGATTGAAGAATAAGGACACAAGTGTTGACTGAGGCATCTCAGAGGGCAGACAACATAGCACTATCATAATAACCCAAAGATCTAAGGGTTCTTCTTCTCTCATCTTATAATTATCTAGTTGCCTGTTATTTCATATCAAGAAATAATAGGTAACTACAAAATTATGACACTCTGTAGACACCTTCATACTACTAAGACTGCTCTATGGTTGCCAAACTTGGGTTTATAGTAAAAGGAATACCACTTGCAAAAGTTATGGAACAGAGTGTACAAAATATTAGGAGAATATTTAAAAAAGTTATACATAAGACAAATAAAAGGGTTTATATAACAATACATTATAACAAGCTCTAAACTTGATATTTCGCTGGCAATTTGATAAGGCAGGAAACCTCCTCTACAATATTGACAGTCAAAAGACACTTTAAGAGCCCCAATGGCAGAGTTCACCCCCAGGTGAACTCTGTCGGCCCTTCTATTCCCAAATAGAAGGGCCTAAAGACAACCGAGACCCAACACATATACACAGCTTGTCGGAAAACACTAGTGGAACTGTGCCAAGAAACGCAGCTCACAGGTAAATAAGGCAAAAGCTACTATAACATTACTTAAAAAAATTGTGTTTCCACTACAGTGAGTGTGTTGTGTTCTTTCTGATTGAATAGTCAAATCACCTGACTTTAACTCAATCAGAAGAACATACTTACATAAGATACATATGAACTACTAATAAATCCAATAAATATTTGCACTATAATGAAATATTTAGTTTTTACAACAAATAATAGAAAGAATCATACAAACCCAAGTTGCCTGGATAAACATTCAAGCCTTTCAATGAGACTCTGCAAGGAGCTTATTTTGATGCAATGTTGTAGACTATCAAGGCACTTTTGTAGTATCATACGATCAGCACTGTCTATTCCCCATCTTTTGTCCTAAGGAAACCAACCATAATAAATGTATTAATTTGTGGTAATATTATTATATACAGTACCTACGTATATACAGGAAGACATACAAACTACATTGAAAGTTATAATCATACTAAGCAACAATGATCCTGACTGCTAAGTCAGAGGTTGCGGGTTCTGTAACCAACCACAACAAATAATAGAGTGATGAGCAAAATCAACTTTTATTTGTCAGTTCTATCCTGTAATTTGTATATATTTAGTAAATTTATTTACAAGTATGTTCAACAACAGCAGTCTGATTAAAATAACAGACACTCTGTATTGTTTGTCATCAGAAGGCCAATTCTTGTAATAAACATTTGGTATCAATTAAGTTCTGATCAACTTTCGATCTCACAACTGTCATAAATGGTATTTTTGTAGTAAATAGTAAAGTATTATTAAGGCCAGCAGATCACATTATAGTCAACATTGGAGGTTTGATACTTTACTACGAAAATACCTTTTAAGACAGTTGACAGGTAGAAACTGAATTGCGACTGAACTATTATTATGAGAATTGGCCTTCAGATGGCTGTATTTGATGTGTCTGATGTTATTTTTTTTGACATGACATTTGTTTTTAATTTGTATTTAATTGATACATTTCCATAAGTAACAAATAATATAATACCAATTTCATTTATAAATTTGTTGCATGGTTGGCTGTTGCAGATGTTAGGGACTCGAAATCTATTCAGTAGCTGACAGGAAAATATATTAAAACATATTTATGTAATAGAATTGTTTTGTCTTTCAGTTTAGAACAAAATATTTTATTTATTTATAGAGTTAGAGATTCTCAAGAGTAATAATTTTTTAATCCAAATTAGGAACCATATTCTTCACCCTTATACAAATAACTTTATTTTTTTCTCTCACACAGTGAACAATCATAATAAATAATAAAATAGTACAGCATATTGAACACCGATAGATTGATTAATCGCCCCCAAAACCCCCTGCATACTAAATTTTATGAAAATCAAAGGAGCTGGGGTGTGGGAGACTGGATTCCGTATTAGGAGACCTGTATTACAGATTACCAGCCTCTCCAAACTCTAGGCAACTGAAAGCATAGTTGTAGTAGACTAAGAATAAGTGTCTGCATAATTAATGGGTGAGAGTTTATGTTTTTTATTTAATGCTTTAAGCACAAAGAAATGTACAAAGGTGGACTTAATGCCATAGGCAGTCTCTGCAGGTCTACCTTGGATGTGTGTAGAAATGAGTGATTAGGTGCTCTAAATTTAAGTAAATATACAAGCCTTGATCAAGAAATACATTTACCTGAAAGGCTAAAAAGAAACGGGGATAGAAAGAGGGAATATATAAATATATATACATGTCCATTCAGACTTTCTTACATACATACATATACCTACACATACATAGATACAAATATATATACATATATACGAGTATATCATGTAATATTGGTATTAATCCAATGACCATGTAGCTTCTTTGGGTGTAAGGAGAATTCTTACTTTCCTTTTGAACAAATGACTACTGGGACCATTCTGATTTTCTGGGGAAGAGCGTTCCAGAGGAAGAAAGATTGAATGAGGAAAGAAGTAGGTAAACACACGGAAGCATGAGAGGGGCATAACAAAAAAAAACAATTGTGGGGCAAAGAATTCTGTCATGATTAGAACACAAGAGTTGGAAGGAGGATGTCAAGTAAGTTGGAGAAGTAAGTGAGTTGAGAATAATATAAAGAGTGGTTAGGGCGCACAGTTGACGGCGCTGACGAATCCTAAGCCAAATTAGCTTAAGGAGGAGACATAGACAAATTTAAACAATTAAAAATAAATTGAATGCAGTTATTCAGAAGTCGGTCACATTTGTTAAGGAGGTCTGCATTCAGGTTGTATTAGGACACAGTGCTTTAGTGTATGTGTGTGTGAGTTTGTGCATGTGTGACTGTATGTATTCGCTCATCTTTGATTTAACGATACAAGCATAATTATGATATTATACAGGCACATTGACCAGATTTTCGGTTGCTTCGAAATTGAGAGACTTTAGCCACGAAGTGATAGCTTAATATTTAAGTTCTTGTACAAATATCCACCCAGAAAACCAAAGACCTTCCTGGAGACAGTATATCTTTGCTTTTGCATTTGATACTACAATTTTCTGAAACTATTAAAAAAAAATTCAATTTTAAAGCAGTGATATATTTTTCTTTTTAGTAACCATAACTAACTTTTTATAATAGTACAATAATGTACATTTTAGTCAGCCTTAAATAAGCTTACAAGAGCAGGTTCTATCCAAAATTTATCTAATTGCACTTGAAAAACCAAATAATTTAGTGACAACATAAACTACGTACCAGCAAAGCCATTCGAACACCTTTGGAAGTCTCTGTTAAGTTTTTGAACTGTGATGTTTTGGATCTCAGTTTTTCCATAAGAATCTCCTTTTGGAGTTCTTTTGACTTGTCTATTAAACCTTTTGCAGAAACCATGGCTACAGCGCTACTTTCCGTCATTTTCTGAAGTTTTATAATATCACAATGCACATGCACAAATTAATGATAACACTAGATCAGTCACAGAACTCAGAACATCTGATAGTTGACTGTGAAGTGTGGTAATTTTTTTTTAAATTTTGTATCTTTCATTTACACTTTATTCGAGTGTTTCTGAGCAAAATTTAACTTCAGAATATACAAATATATTCAACAATCACAATTATTTACTTTAATAAAAATAATTTTTTCGTCCACAGTTGAAACTGTCATTTTCACGCGATGCCATTTGCTTATAATGCTAGTAAACGTACTAAGTGAAAAACAAAGAAGTTAACCTTTGTACAATTTCGATACAGCGCTAGTAGATAGTAACAATCAGTGCGAGTAAAAGAGAAGTTCGATAGTTTCGTTCATATGGGATACAATTTAATGGACATTTCATATTGTCGGGTATTACAGCTAAAATGCCAAATGCCAATGCCACCTGCACTCTGTTCAGAAATCCACATTGAATCAAAATCCTTACCAATACTGTTAAAAAGGGTTAATGTATTATTTAATTTATTTTATTGGGTTATTTATTTTATTAAACTAATTAACCTGTCAATGGCATTCACATTTCTATTAAACGATAAAAACAGTCGGTCGTGGGTTTATTGTCTTTATTGAATATATAGTAAAATAATTTTATGAATATTTTATACTGCAAAAATAAATAGTAAAACTGCCAAAACTTCTTTTTCTACTAGATAGAAAACGAAGGAAAATTAGGCCAGTAGAATGTAAAAAAAAAGAGGCATGACTCCTAACAGGTAGTATCATATATTTTTGACTGTGTTTATAGATAAGGAACGTCCTTATGAAATACCTCCAATTTTAATGTGAGTGATGGAACATTTTTTTAACGTTTTAAATCAAAAATCGTTAAGAAAACAGTATTTTTAAAAAGCTTAAAACCCATTAGCAATATTTGCAATTAAAGCTTTGTAGGCGTTATAATAACAGTTAATCTGCCAACGGAAATATCAAATTTGGTTGGCAAATAAATAATCGCAATATACTGGCGAAAAAATCGAAAATTTGATTTAAATTTTATTTTGGAATTGACATAGTAGCTCGTTCAAGTCTTTAACTTTATAGTTCCGCAAACTGATTTGCTAAATTTGATATTTAACATTGTCATTTAACAATGTGTACAAGTCATGTTTTAAATGAGTCCTCGGCACCTGTCTCGTTTTTCCCTTTTGAACTTTTTCGATCGAGGGACTTCAAATTCGATCGGCGAAATAAAAATGATGTATTTTGCTCATTTTTTGCAAATTTGTTCATTGAACTGAAAAAAAAATTAGCTGGTTAATTGGTGGCAAAAAAAATTTGAATGAGGTTGTGAAGTTGAATCCTGTTATACCTTATACTAGTAGAAATAAAATATCAATTTCTATATCTATTATACGTGCCTTTAAAGGGATTCCTGTAGGTATAGAAAGCAGAAAGAGTAAAAGGATGCATAAAATTTAGAAGCAATGAATTAGGTATTCAATTGCATTTAAATAACAAAGTTACAGGTTTCTTATTAAAACACATACAAACGTATTATTAATCCTGGTCTCAAACACATTGATCGTACATTGTATTTAGTTAATTTCCATTCAATTTTCTTTTTTTTGAAGGTCGTTCTTCGTTGACTGCACGGATAGCGTAGTGGTTTAAGCGGTCGCCATGCCGCTTACTACTACGCCGATCCCCACATAGGGCGACACTTTTTGAACTACAGAGATTATCGACTTATCCCTCGTACGTACTTCTTAAAGCTGTTTTCATTTACGCAGCGGGAGATTTAAAGATGAAGCACAACTTACCACGAAAAATAATTATATTATTTTCTGTACCCTAGAATACACTTACAATGCATGATGATTTTTTTTACCAAAAAACCAGTCAAATTTTTTTTAATTGAATGAACTATTTTCAGAATAAAGTTCTAAGATTTGAAAGTCTTTCTTAATACATGAGATACTAATGAATCGATTTTCAGAATTTTCATCTACTGACGGTAATTAAATATACCTTATTTTACAGATTTTGTATGGAGATAGAACAAAAATTCACAAACGAAATTAAGAATGTGGAGTTAGGCCATTACCTCATTAGAGATGGATAGCACAAAGTTACTGTTCATTTGTGCGTGCTTATTTGTTCTAAGTGCCAAATACAGGTAAGTGCCAAAAAATTATACAGGTTGTTCATTTAATCTTCACACTGACTAGCATTAATAATAGTGTGTTTTGAATTATGTCTTATTAGAGTTATAATAAATAATAATAGAGCTTATAATTAAAAAAACTTGTATCTCTTTTAAACTTTTTGTTAATTAATTTGTCAAGCATAAAGAAACCTTAACCTACAACACACCTTGCACAAATCCTTAACGTTAGAGACTTCTTAAAAATGCCGCCTTATTGGAATAAAAAAATAATTCTGGCCTGAATTATCGATACAAAATTAAAATCAATTGCTGTTGTCATACATGTTATGATGAGAATCGTAGAGGAAATTTGAACATCACCGTGCGAAGAAAGAAAACAAAACAACACTTGTTTCAAAGTCATAACGGACTTGAAGGTAAATTAAAAAGTACTCACTCTTCAGTTTGAGCTTGCGTCTGTTTATTTTTACTTTTGTAATACGTTCCATACATAATTTAGGTATTTGTCTAAAAAATATCTAAGTACAAAAAACAATAAATTAAATGATTTTATAAATATTTTAAGCGTCTCTTGTGATATCGCCAACTACGGTTTTAAATCATACAAAATAGCGGATGTGGTTTGTGTTTGGTCGATTGAGTGAACAGAGAACACTCAAGTAGTTGATGGAATAATTAGTCTTTACACTCATGTTTAATTGTGAATACTTCAAATTAGCAGTTAGCAAATTAATTGTAGTCGTGAAATTTCGTGAACGTACGAATTAATACGTATACGAAATTTGGTCGCTTCATGAGCTTATTATTCTTCGCTAAAATATTAATAATAAATAATAATGATAAATTAAATAAGTGCTAAATAATTCAGACGTGCACAAACACTTGCTTCCTTCAAAAAGCAAGTGAAAGAATATTACTTGGGAGATATCAATGTCCCATAAGTTATTAACTTTCTACTAAGTCAATAAGGTTTCATACAATATAACTATGTATTTAGTAGATTTAAATCACACGTAGGTATTTATTTCACTATATGTATGTAATAACAGAACCAGCCATGTTCTGCACATAGTATATTCTCTCTAGTACGTTATATACTCACCAAAGTACAACAAATAGATACTATGTGTAACTATGACTATATTATATATGTATATTACTTTGATTTCCCCTTTTTATCTATTTCCTATCACACCAGCCATTACCCTATACCTCTTCCCCTTCATGCTTCCTCTCCATACCACGATTGCCTCTGAGCAGTAAGGCCGCCATTTGTACCTACTTGTCTAACTTAATTTAAGTGAATTATTTTACAAGTATATTTATACCTGGTGTACATTAAAGCGATATATTACTATTATTATTTCGCGTACTAAATTTAATAAATCGTCGTGCTAAAATATTAATACAACTGCTAATGCTAAATTACTAAATGAAGGAAAATGCAGTCTGCTATCATGTTTAAGTACCTATTTCGCTCGGAACAGTGACCGAGCGTGGCGCGATTGATGCTATTTCTGAGAGTAAAAAGGATTTTATTGTTTATTTTAAAATAAATGCACGTATTTAGGACTGTTTATTGCATAAATATATTTTTAATATCATTCATTGAATTTTTAATGCCCGAATATTTTATTTTGCTTATTCCATGCAATATATGTTTTGTTGAATAGTAGTATAAAAAAATATATTTGAAAATAAATGTTTTGTTGAATTGTTTGAAGTTGTTCATAGAATTGGTACCTATATAGTATTTGCTAATAAGAAGTTTAATTATAAAGTAGGTACAGGTAATTAAAGTTTTGAAGCGTGTGACGTGTGCGTTGTAAATAGGTATTTTGACGTTGTAGATAGGCATAATTTTTGGTAAATAGATAGTGTTAAGTGACGAATTTACGAAGGCTAGCAACCAAGAACAAACCCTATATTGCATTATTTCTGTAATAATGTTGATCGCGGTGAGTTGAAATATAATAAAAATAAAAAGCCGTGTGGTGTCGTGGGACATCCGATAGGAACGAAGTTGTGACGATCGAGTAAAACTGATTTGACACGATTTTAATTACAACGCCATCTATGAAAGCGGCTATTACCTACATATTAAAAACAATTAAAACAATTTATACATTGGTAAAATCTCCTTGCGAAATGATTTCCTATCTATTCGATAGATGGCGCTGAATGTCTGACAAGATGACACGAAAATAAAGAGCAAAAAGCCAACATCACGTGGTATTCCCAGGCGGTCGCCCATCCAAGTACTAACCACGCCCGATGTTGCTTAACTTCGGTGATCGGACGAGAACCGGTGTATTCAACATGGTATGGACGTTGGCGAACGTTAGAGCAAATTTAATGTATGGTATCCACAGTTAGACGTCAATTTATGTTAAAAAGTGCCGTGACAAATTTTCGTACGATTTTTTTCCGTCTAGCCCCTTTTCACAACGCGCGATAAGGAACTTCGTTCCAATAAGTTATTTATGTATAATTAGTACTTAGTGATATACCTAACTACAAGTTACGATCGTTTTAATTCGCTCTCCTCGTACGAAATTGCAATATTAGCAAATAATATTAGCATTAGCAATTAATATGCTAAGACATCAGAATTCGCAATTAATGAAATTAAATCTAATTAGCATTAATGCCCATTACTACACTCAAGCATCTCTTACGACGTAGGACATAGAACAAATTTTCATTACAGTATCGTGTCACAAATAAAATTCAAATGGTTTTTGTTGTTATAAAAGCAAAAAGTTTGAAAGTTTCCTTAACCAACAGGTGAGAAATTTAAGTATTACCAATA